CACCGCATCGGAGGGCAAGGGACCATGTACTGATACATCCGGTACACTGCAGAGCCCTCGAGTTTACTTGCATCGCCCTCACCCAGAACCTGGCCAACGACGGCCACGAGCTCTCCGACTCCTTCCGCGACGCCTACGGTGTCACCCTCAAGCCCCACCACAGCTTTCTCATAAAGCCCGTCTTCAGCGCCGCCATGAGCGCGTGCCCTTACCGCAAGGACTTTTACGTCAAGCTCGGCTCGGACCAGGAGAAGGTCAACAAGGAGCTGCGCCTGTACCTGGAGGCGTTGGACAAGGTTGTCGGCATCCTCAAGGGTTTCCTGGAGAGCCCCGATGCCAAGTGGTAAAAAGGGGAAGCCAGATTCGAGAAGGGTACGCAGAACGTCGGATCTCCCATAAAATAATAAAACGGCCAGGTGCGGTACGCGGCTGCTACCGCCCCATCGTTTAGACATCTTTGAGCCCGCCGTCATATTGTTGAATGTTGGAATGCCGTCCTTTTCTTGGCAACGCTGCCCCCTCGCCCCATAGACAAAAGCTTAGAGTAGTTGGTTGTTTTCCTTCTTTGAGTAATGACGTTTCATCCACCCCTCTTAGCAAGTAGGCGGTGGTTGTGTTTCACCGACACTAAACGACTGCGTATACCGTCGTCCCCCCAGCCGTAATTAATCATGTTGCCCTGTTCTTCCTCGTGGGGTTCGGTGTCGTGTACAGACATGACCAGGGTGTGTACCAAACGCCGTAACAGGGCTTTTTATGGACCGCTCCCATCGCGCCCCGTGTGTGGCCGGTGCGGTTGTTGGGCAAATTCGTCCACCGTGAAACCCCGCATATCTGAGCCCGGATGTATGTACCTAGGTGTGTCCGTGTCATCGGGACGCGCATGCAGACCTGTGGGTGTTGTTTCAGGGACGGCGTTGAGGGGCAGTCACAGGGTTTGGCTTGGCGCACTGGATGGATCCTATGATGCGAGAGAGCTTCGTGTGCTCAGAAAGCCAACGGTATGTACTAATCTGTAGATAGTGTAAAAAGCTCGACCATCCGAGCCAAGCATTGGGAAACCCGAGGAGGATTCATCACGCAAGGTTGAAATTCTTTGAAGCATCCCCCTCAGTGAGTTGTCCTTGTCGTGCATGACCCCAAGCCCAATCGAGACATCTCGATCTGCAATTCCAGGCTCCAAGAGTGGGGCTCTGGTCATGAGAGGCGGCCCTCAGAGGAGTACAACAGGAATTGCCCATCGACACTTCGGCGTTGAACGGGTGCGGTTCCATGTCCCAAGAAGAGCACCGGATTCCAAAGGAGGGGTTCGCAATGCTCAAATCCGACACGATGGGGATTTTGGGCTTTTCTTCCTCCATCCGATGTTGGGTGGCACAGCCGGGAGGCCAGTGGCGAGGCCGCCGGCGCGAACAGCGGGCGATGGAGCGGCCTGCAAAAGGGCCTCGTTATGCACAATCGCGGCGCTTGCGGAGGGGCAACCTGAAAAGAACCGTTGAACGAATCGAAGTAATCGCCTTGACAGTGATCCCCATCTTTGATTGCCGTTCTGCGACTGAGAAATGGGAAAGTGGCCTCACAGCCCGGAGAGCCACCTCGCATTCCTGGCTTTTCCGGTGCTTGGTGAGTGTCCCGGGAGGTCGCCAGGCCGGGCGAGGCTGGGTGCATGGAAGTCCCGCCGGCCGCCTGGTGGAGAATCCATTAATCCAGCTGCATCGCCCTCCGCAGGCCCCACAAAAACGCCCCGCGGCTTCCCGCCTGTTCTCCAGCGCTTGCTGAGCTATAATCCCAGCCTAACTTCAACTTCGACATCCTCTCTCTCCACCCGCGTCATCACCCATCTATCCCCTACCCCCCTCGATTTAGATGGCTTCACAGAGAAAAGCAGGAATGCTCAAAAAGCCGGCGGCAAAAGCGAAAACAAAAAAGCCCGACGGCAAGGCGTGCAAAGGCAAGGCGAAGAAGGAGTTGTCGGTGCCGGTCCTGGGACTTCCACCCGAAATCGTCCTCCTCATCGACGAGCTGCTCGAGCTCCCGGATCGTCTCGCCCTCGGACGCACGAATCGCTGGTTTTACTCCATCATTAACCCTGTGCTGTACCGCGACAATGTCAAGTTGGCCTCAGCGTCCTCCCTCTTCTGGGGTGCCGAGAACGGCGAGTTGGGCACCCTCAAGCATGCGCTGGCCGCAGGCGCCGATTTGAATGCTTCCGGGCCGCTGCCGCGCGAGGTCACAGAGGCAGAGACCAGGGACACCGATAATGATGCTGACGGGAATGCCGATGCCGACCCCGCTCCCGAGCTGTTCGAAGAACCCCCCGATCCGTCTCTCCAACCATCCTGCACCCCGCTCCACCTCGCAGCCAAAAACGGCCATCGGGAGATTGTGGAATGGCTCCTCGACAACGGCGCGGACATCGACGCCGCATCGTACCGGGTCTGCGAATGCCAGTCCCTCAAATCCGGACGGCATCCCTCGCGCCGCCTCTCGGAATGGCCTCGCTGGCGCGCCCTACACACCGCCATGTGCAACCAGGAGCGGACCATCGCCGAGCTGCTCATCCACCGCGGGGCGTCGCTCGAGTTAGATACTAATTCCGAGCACCATCACACGGCTCTGCACTCGGCCGCTGCCCACGGCCTAATCCCCGTCATCAAGCTATTAGCACTAAACGACCTCAACCTCAACGTCAATCAGCGCGATGAGTGGGGCAATACGGCGCTGCATTACGTCTCGGAAATCTGGAGCCCGCGCGACTCGCCGGACATTCGCGACACCATCACAAAGCTCCTTGCCCTGGGCGCCGACCTGGAGGCCCATAACGATAGCGGCTACACCCCTCTACTCAACGCGTGCTTCAGGGGCAACTACGCTGTAGCTCACCGCCTGGTCAGCATCGGCGCGAACCCGGATCCCCATCGGCACATCCCCGGCTTTCGAGACTACCGTCCGCTATACTACTGTATGCTGCAACGATCTGAGTTTTTCGATATGGACGACGCACCGGTTAAGCACGACGAGTTCGAAGGAAACAGAGTCACACTGATCAAGGCCTTGGTCGATGGCGGGGCTGACGTGAACGCCAAATTTGATAAGCGTAGCCACCGTGGCGTGACCCCGCTCATGCTTGCTTGTGAGCTGGCCGAGCCCCGAGCCGTCGCCGCCCTCGTTCAGTGCGGCGCCGAGATCAACGCACAAGACCGCAACGGGCGGACCCCGCTGTGCTATGCGGTGACGATAAGAGTCGATCATCGTGGTGAAGTGCCCGAGATCGCCTCTATTATGCTCCGACGTGGGGCTCGCATGGACATCGAAGAGGAGCCAAACTGTAGCCCTCTCGACACCGCCATCAAGCACATCCGGTGGGCGGAGGATGATGTCCTCGAGGCAATGCTGACCGTGGCCGACCGGACCAACCTCACGGAGACCAAGCTCAAGGAAGCACTAAGGGGTTGCGCTTCGTGCGGGAACCATAAGGCGCTAAAACTGCTCCTTGACTTTGCCGACAGGGTGTACGAGGTAACGGATGCCGATGTGAAGGACTACCTGTGCCGTATCATCGAACAGAGCGACCCGTGGAACCAGATCGAGACGTTCAACTGCATGATGGACTTTGGGAGACCCGTCTACACCAACGAGATGCTGCTGCTGAAGACCATCATGCAGCAGAACCGGGAACTGAGCCTGGCAGTCATGGGCCGGGGGCTTTCTATCAGCGAGCCCAGGTTCCACGGCGACCAGACATACCTACATCTCGCGTGCCACTGGGGTGATGTGGAGGTGGTGAAGGCGTTGCTGGACCGTGGAGCCGACGTCAACGTCTTCGACCGGGACCTGCAGACGCCATTGTCGGTCGCTGTGAGCGAGAACTACGTCTCCATTGCGGTAGCGCTCATGAAGGAAGTTGCCGACCCGTTCCTCACCCCCTCGGACGAGCTCCTCCAGGAGCGCTTCAGTGACGAAGAAGAAGACGAGTGGCGTTTTGTCAAGCGGCACTATCTCACCGCGTTCGACCTCGCCATCCGGGACGACCGCGTCGAGATTATCCAGGACATCCTCTCGCGTTACGCGCTGCCAGAGATCCCTCCCAAATCCAAGTTGAGCTACATGCACCGCGCGAGCCAGAACCCGAATCCGGCGATCCTGAAATTGCTCCTCGAAAAGGGAGCGGACCCCGCCGGCGGCAAGGACTGCCCGAATCCGCCGGCTGCGGCCCTCATCCGGCGCGTGTGGGACCAACCGCGGCTACCCGACGTCGCCATCAGCCTCCTACAGGCGGCTAGGCTCCTACTAGAGAAGTGCTCGAGCGACACCGCGCCCTGGCCTCTGCTGAAAGAGATCGCCCTGGACAGCAGCGACGACCCGGACAGGGCGGAACTGCGCAATGTGGTGTGCCGCGAGCTTGGGGTGCGTGTGACCTTTGATGAGTGCAGCAACGAACCAAAGTATATGGTCACGTGCTTTTCGTCTGCCCTTGAATCTCCACCTAATAAGTTCATCTTTGAGCGGCCGGCGGAACATGCGTGAGGTGGCCGTTTATGCTTCCCTTTACTCTTTTTTTCTTGCATTGGTCAGCGGGTTTCCTTTCTTTTTTTCTTGATATCAACATTATGATACGGTATACACCAGGACAGCGGTACAGTACAGTACATCGCTGCGGGATCGGTTTGGCTACGGGCTGGGGAAGCGGATATTATATCCCGGTGCTCTTTTTGATGTGGATGTGGCGGGCAGACCTAAGGTGGGATTCATGATTGGATGTACATGTACATGGTATTCTTGCTCTAACAGTTTACCCTGGGCGGATGACGAAATTGACGATGTTTCATGATGGGCATTTGAGAGGACTATACCATGTTTTTGAGGACAAGACAGGCGGTTAGGTCCAGATTTGTTGATTCAAATGGATACCTAGTCAAGGAGGAACGAATACATTTCGGTTAGTTTGGAAAGTCAAAAAAATGAAGATGCGTTCTGCTGTCCATATCTGGAAAGAAGGACGCCAACGGCGAGACTCGAACTCGCAACATTCAGATCTCCCAATCGGGACTTAAAAGTCTGACGCGCTAACCAATTGCGCCACGTCGGCTGGAACAGGGTGCAGCACAGCGAAGATTTGCTGATTTACCAAGGCAGCGACAACGAGAAAACAGCAAATCTAACTCGTCACCTCTGAGACTACCCCTAGAGCAGCCATGCCATACCCTCCTTCGGGGCGCTGGAACGAAAAGCGTCACTTAGCCGGGGCATCAGCCTGATATGGCAGTCAAGACATACGTACCTGGCTGGCATACAAGCCAGTAATGGCGGTTCCCGGAAGCGCCATTACCGTTCTACAGTCTGTCACTTCCCCGAACTCGGGGCTAGAGATGAGACATGACCTCCCGCGATTCGTGTAGAACTAGATGATGTAGAAAGAAGGGAGGAGTGAGTGCGAAGACAAGGGCCAACAGACTACAACAGAAGCAGAGAGGACTGGACTCAGAGGAACCGCCGGGGACAACGAACCTTGAACCAAACCATAACCCCCTGCTCCGTCTTCCAACGCAACCCTTTCCCTTCCTCACAGAACTGATGGCCCATCTCGACGGCCACAATCCGTTCTCCGCCGGGCCCGTCAACGGGGAACTCGACGTTCTGCCCCTCCCGGACACGCAGATCCGCCAGACGCCCCAGAGCCCGGTGCTCGGTGGGCACTTTCAGGTCGAAGAAGAAGCGGATGCGGCGGGTGCCGTCGCCGCTCGTCGCCGAGACGCGCGTGAGGTGAGGGAGGTACTTGCCCCCCGGGCCCCCGAAATGACACCAGAACAGCGGCTTGTATGATAATTCTGATACGAACCGGGCGCGGAGCGGGAAGAAGGATTCCTCGTTCAGCTGGAGGGCTGGACCCGGTACATCCGGGTGCCACAGTGCCGAGTTTCTCAGATTGGTTTCGTGCTCGGGGCCGCCATCCGGTGGCGAGTCTACACAGATGGCAAGACTGACCATCTTGTATCCCTGTGTGTAGGTTAATACTCACGCCTCAGGCGAGCGCGGGCCAGGCCGTACGCTGGTGATGACCTCGGAAGTACGTACATCGAACGTCGCCCTCAACCCCACGACCTAGCCCGCTCCGGCGGCTAGGCGCTCAGTTCGGGGGGCGCCCTCGGGCGATCCGAGCCACGGCAACAACAACCGCGAACCCTCCGGCCCAGCGATGCACTGCAGCCCCTGAACGCCGCGGACCCCCACGGCCACACAAAACCCCAACAACCGAGAAACGCGCACAGACTGCTCAGGAGAAGAGGAACTCCCCGCAGCGTGGTACCCAAACCGGATAGCATCCCCCGCGTCCGTCTCCAGCACCAGCCCCGCGATATACTCCTCCCCGCCCACCCCAACAGTCGAGACTGCCAGCCGCGCCAGGTCCCGCGGCACGGCAATCTCTGCGTGCCGGAACGAGCGACACCCCCGGTAGAAGGCCGTCCACAAGCCGTCGCCCTGATCTGCGACGCGCCACACATGCCCCGACACGCCGAGCCAGCGGGCCGTTGTTGGGTGGGCGGCTTCGTTCAAGTTGAGAGACCAGGCCGGTCCCGGGTCGCGGGGGACGGGCACCCAGACGCGGTCGAGGATCGGGAGCAGGGCTTGGATTAGGGACCAGATCCGCTGGCGGTTTCGCAGGCCGGGGTTGAGGTTGAGGTGGGGGGTGTTGGTGAGGTGGTAGAGCCACCGCCAGTCCCGGGGGTGGTTGGCTTTGGTTTTTTGGTGGGCGTCAACGAGCCAGCCGCGGTCGGACGCGGTGTTGTGGAATCGGGAAGCCCAGAATTGTTGGTTGTTGAAGATGGGTTGGAAGGCTCTCGAGGCTAGACGAGCGTTCAGCACGTCGGCTGTTGGGAGATGCATGGCGATGGCCGTGCGGAGCTCCATGGGAATTCTGGCGAAGCAATCTGCCCCCGGGCCCTGCGCTGGGACGGTGATGCTAGAGTCGCGGGCTGGGGCGGCGGGCGGCCCGCTTGGTTCCTCGGTGAGGATACCGGCGATCTCGGGGATGTGATATGGGTCGCTGTGGAAGACGGGGTCCGGCGTCGGGAACCCCCCGGGCCGGTCCTCGACTCCATCTTCCCACGGGAAGTAGTTCCGCCTGTCCACAACGGTCGCTCCGCCGTAATCGTGGCCCCAGTGCAGAGCACCGGAGCGGAGTGGAATCGGCTGCGACTTGCAGACATCAAACAGCCGCAGGAGCGGGACAGGGGTTGGTGATAGCGCTTTCTCTAGCAGGTCCCAGCAGGCTCCGTGGAAGAGGTACGCGCGTTTGCCGCTACGGGATTGCTGCATAGCACTGAAAGTAACCAAGGGGAGGGCATCATCGTAGCCGTCGTCGCTCCAGTGCACGTTCCTGCCCAGAGACGCGATGAAAGAGGCCGTCACTGGGTCGCGGTAGATGCCAACGCCTGTGAGCACGGTGGCGTCGGACTCAAGGCCGGTAAAAACTGTATCAGGATCAGTCCAGCACCGCGGACTCGGAGGAAAAGGCTGTGCGGCTTACGCCCCCGAAACTGCCTCGCCCAGAATTCAGGGCGTTCGAATCTGCCATCGACGCCGCCAGGTATGGACCGACGCGCGCTGACTTCGCACCCACAGATCACACAGCAGGGAGTAGAGCCGACCACTCCGTAGCTGGCCATTTTTCCGTCTTTTAAGGACTCAACTTCGTGTCATTGTCCGGTAACTCAGTTCAGGGGAGGATATTTCGCAGCAAGCCACTGCGATTCGAGGGTGCCATTAGTTAGGTTGTGAAAGGTGTACTGCTCGCGAGCCAACTGGAGCTTTGAGAAGACCCAGAGAAGCTGCAGAGTACCTGGTAACTAACATTCGGTTGGTTCACCTGCACGTGGTTATCTAGGTACTTATGCACCAAGGCCCAAAGTAGAAAAGTTGACATGGCCAATAAGTATTGAAACGCTCATACGAGAGAAACCGTCGTTGTACAGTTGTACAGGTGCCACTGCAAGTCGCTGATGTTTCGGCTACTGGCATTGCTTTGAAGTTGCATGATGTTGATAACCACAGCGTGCCTCATATTAATTATTGATTCGGGGAAGACTAATTCTCTTCACTTAGTACCCAACGATAGTTATCCCTTGCACTAAACGACTCTTATTTTAAGTCCTGGTGTATAGCAGAACACGGTAATGATTTGGTTTAGCATTTAGCCGTGTCCACGGCCTTACTGTGTTATGAGGACAAACTCCGCCTCCGATGCAGAGAGAAGTTATCAACTAGAGGTCTCTGAGACAGCTCGCATATGTGTACTAGAAAGATACCTAGGTATGTAGGTAGCTTTACTGCATCTGATTTATCATTATGATTCACTGGGGCTTCTTGTGGTGGCATTGTTTATCGTTCCAATCAGAGGCTATACGTTACGTCTTGCTTCTCTATTCGAGAAACTCTACCTATTTACTTCGTACTAAAAGTAGGATGGTGGCCTTCAGGTTCGTGTTGAAGGACGTGACACAATTTGCTGACCTCAGCTTATTTCGGGATGACCGTGGGGGCGAAGTTCATAGGCTGTGCTGCATAGTGCATAGGTATGTATATATGCATGTCTGTATGTGCCCAAATAGCCAGTGATAGCCAGTGCGAGAGAAATGACGGTTGCTTGCTGGTGTAGCTCTGCAGACGCCCGTCGTTTTGGTTGGGTTACAGGTGTTACACCCAAGTCCGAGGCAGAAGTCCATGGCTCAAGTTTGGCTCTGGTTTGAAACTGATCCCTGTGGTGCTGTCAAGTCAGGGGTAGGACCCGGACTGGAGGACGAAACGTCGATCCCTTTCCAGCCTTGCCCAATTCGATCATTGGCTCTTGAACCGAACCACCCATGCCATGCCGGGTTCCGTCACCGGTTGGGGAGAGTTTAACAAATGTCAGCTAAAGCCAATTCTCGTCGGCCCTGTGTGTTAATCTTCGTTTTCTTCCTCCTTGCAGTTTTACCCCTTTTCCTCTCCGCCCCCCACCCTTTTCTCCTCTCCTTTCCCATTAAATCCGACCCGTCGAGATTCCTCCAGGCTCCTCCCCCCGCTCCGGCCGATCGGTTCCAATAAAAAACTGGGCCGAGTCGCACCCAAAGCCGGGAAGCGTGCAGCCATGCGGCATGGTAGAGGTGGGGGGGTGGCATCGACTTGATCCTACAATGTAACTCTGTAATTGTAAACGCGCGATGGCGCGGATCCGTCTCGACTCTCCGACTCCGTTTCCCACTTTGCCGTGTTTTGTCCTGTGCTTCTCGAGCTTCCGAGAGTTACCAATTAACAGCATACATGTATTCGTAACGTTTAATCCTCACACGCTGTCAACGAATCCCAAATCACCCCTGCGAACCTAGTACGAACCTACGAACCTGCGATTCAAATGTTTCGATAAGTTGGAGCAATAGTGCCGCCGGCTCACCATGCCTCAAGGGGGACAAACTTCGACGCTCAGGCTGCTGGCCTTGCTCGGGCTCGGGTGCACCTTGGGCGGCGCATTTCCAGACGTACCGACCCCCGATAATTTTCTCCGCAGGGTCTGGGCGACATCGACTGTTCTCGGCGACTATGTTTACGTTGATGGAGGGGAGCTTAACCAAATAGTCAACGGACAGAGCCGCGGGGCAGACGTGGGTAAGGAATCATCCTCGTCATGGCCAACTGGGAATGTTCCATGGCCCTGGCAAGAACGGAGCTAACGTTGTGGTGTACGATTGCCTCAGTGAACTCGACGCTCTCCATTGACATGTCCAAGTCGTGGAAATCTCTCGACGTCACCATCCGAACCATCGCCAAACCGGGGCCCGCAAAGACCAACGTAGGATTATGGACCGACACGGCCGCGGGCGCCTTTTACTCGTGGGGCGGCAGGTGGCCCGGGGGGAAGAACATGACCAAGAACGCGCTCTGGAAGTTCACGGCCGACGGCAAGGGAGGCGGGTCCTGGGCGGTCGAGGAACCGGGGAACCCGACCCTCTTCAACGGCATGCGCCAGTCCGAGTACGGCGCCTTCGTCAACACGGACACCACTGGGTTTGTCATCGGCGGGGCGGCGCACGCGTGGACCCAGCTAGATCAGAG